ATTTTGCAAAAACACTTTTATTTGCAATAACTTCTTCATTGCATTGTGGCATGCTTGCAATTTATTTTTTATAGTTTCTGTCAACATTGGATTATTATGACAGATCTTGATAATCTCTTCCATAAGATCTTGCTTATTAGTAAGATTTTTTTTTCTAATTTCTTGCTTTACTATTTCCTAAATGTTTTCTATGGGGTTAAGATCATGCGGTTTGTCTGGCTATAGCAATACATCAACTAAGCCATAAAAGTTTTTATTGTTTGGCAAGTTGAACCATCTTGCATAAATATAAGATTTTTGACATTATTTTTAATATTTTTAATTTTTTTTGTCAATTTTTGACTTTTTTGGCTGGACATCAATCCCTCTTCTTTTAGCCTTCTACAAATGGTCCGGTCTGACACAACAATTACAGCTTCATGGATAAGCTTAGTGGCTTTTTTTCTGTTTTCCAGGCAAATATTTCTGATTATACTGTCCGCTCTTGGTGTTTTGTTGCGTTTAGAAGGTGGTCTCCTTGGACACAACTCTTCCCCTGTATCAATTCTTTTTCTTACTTGCATTACGGTTTGGTAAGAAACCTTTGCGGTTTGTGCAATTTTTCATTGAGAATAATTTGTATTTTGTCTAAGACATGTTTATCAATTTTTAATGTAACTATAATAATAATAACAATGTATAATGCAGGTTGTTGACCAATGGTTTATAATCAAAATTTAATATGGCTGGCGGTAAAGGTAAAGAGAAGTTTAAAGGAACAAACTTTAGGTATTTACTTGTAAGTTAAGTGTAAAATTATATATTTTTTAAAAATCACAGTTCGTTTTTTTAATGCTATTTTATTTTTAACTTTTTGATGTATTTGATGAAAGTTACTCAGGCAATACCTTTTTTATAGAGAGAGTTTTGTCAATTAAAGTGACTGCTACAGTTGCCGAAATAAGAAAAGAAATAATGACTTTATTAAAATACACACTCGACAGATCAAATGGTGGTGGTCGGCGCGTAAAAGGCGATAAACCCGATGTATAACATTCATACTTTTTCCTAGTTGTTCTGGAACTATTAATAATAGTTATTATTGATAAATTGATAAATATATTACTGATAAATAAAACTTTTTTTTTTCAAACATTTTATTTTATTTGCATTGTATATAAAGTCCGTTGAAGCAATTTAGTTGTATCTGATTAATTTACGTGAAATATAATAACCTCTGCGCAAATTATTGCTTTTTTATTGTGTTATTTTATTGCAATTAAAGTTGAGAAAATTTTTTAGTTAATTGGATTTAACCAAAATAAAAAACAAAAATCAACGTTGAATTTACGTTGTTTCAACGTTGTTTTAACGTCTTATCAACTACGTATCAATCAAATATATCACCTATTCAAAGTTGAAATATGGTTGATATGTAGTCGATAAGACGTTAGATCAACGTTGAAACGACGTAATCATCGACGTTGTTTCAACGTCGTAGTTTTCGACGTCGGATTTTATTTCCAATTCAACCAAATTTCAACGTTGTTTCAACGTGGCATTCGGTCGGTTTGCGACGTTGTTTCAACGTTATTTCAACGTCATTGTGCCGGCTGGGTCATGTTTTGATTAATTAAAATTATTTCCTTTAGTTTTGATTTAAAAATATTTATGTTTGTGTTTTGACGTCATTTCTAATTATTTCACTCCATAGTTGGAGTGAAATAATTAGAAATGAGATAGCTGTGATAGAAAACTTAGTGGCTTCAAAGTGAGTTTTAGCTTGAATATAACTATTGTTTGCATGTCTATTAAGATATTTGTGTTGTATTTTTTTAAATAGCCTTTTAAAAATATTTGGCATCGAATCGTTGTGGATTTTATACATAAAAATTAAATGATGATATATATTTATTTGGTAAATATTTAAAATTTTTAAATTAATAAATAGTGTTTGTGAATGAGAGTGATGGTCTGCGTTGGATGTTATTCTTATGGCATTTTTTGTTTGTTGAATAGTTTGTTTAGTTTTAATTTTCATTTGTGCTGCACCAAGCAATGTTAGCATAATTGAGATAACAATGGATAAAAGTAAAGTAGATATATTTTAAGCAAATTTGATTTAGGTAAGCAAATTTGATTTAGATTATAAAGTATGCCAATATTTTTAGAAATTTTATTTTCGATTAATTTTATGTGGTTTATTCATGTGACATTTTTGTCAATAAGAACTCCTAGAAACTTCATTAAGTGTTTTCTTTTTATAAATTGATTCCCAATGCTAACATTTGGGAGCTTTAGAGAAATTTCGTCTCTTTGATAAGGGCGATGAAAAAAAATGTACTTAGTTTTGGTTAAGTTTAATGACAATTTATTTGTATTAAACCATTCAGTTACTTTTAACAGTTCTTTGATGAATGTTTTAAATAGGGTTTTTATATTACTATGGGAATAAAATAAATTGGTATCGTCAGCAAACAAAATAGAGTCTAAAACATTTGAGACTTTTGCTTAAAATGTATATTAAAAACAAAAGCGGTCCTAAATTTGATCCTTGAGGAACTCCATAAGTGATTGTCTTATTTTTCAGTTTTACCGCCCTCATAAGAAACATAATGTTTTCTATTAGACAACTAGTTTTTAAACCAAACTATATTTGCATTTTTAACTCCATAATTTACTAGTTTTTTTAATGAAATATGGTGGTCAACTGTGTCAAAGGCTGTGCTAAGGTCTATAAAAATACCTAATGTATACTCTTTTTTATCAAAGGCTCGAAAAATATCATAAACAAGTTTAAGAATAGCATGATCAGTTGAACGACCTTTTTTGAACCCAAATTGTTTGTTGTATAAAATATTATTTGTTTCTAGAAAAGAGAATAGTCTATTATACGTTATTCGTTCCAGAATTTTAGAGAAGCAAGGAAGAATGAAAATAGGTCTATAATTAGAGACATTAGAAGAATCACCCGATTTAAAAACGGGTATAACTCTTGCAGTTTTGAAACTTTTTGGAAATATTCCTTGTTTTAAAAAAAGATTTAAAATATGCAACAGTGGTATTATTGAATAATGCATAGATTTTTTTACAACATTACTGCTTATTTCATCAACTCCTAATCCTTTGTTTAGTTTTAACGTTTGAAAAGCAATTAATAACTCATTTTTAGTCCGTTTATTGTTGGTCATTATTGCAGTTAAATATGACTCAACGCTAAATTTACCAGGTTTTAGTTTTAAGTCTAAATTTGATCCTACAACTAACAAAAACTTGATTAAATGTTTTTGCAATTTTTGATTCATTAAGTATATCAACGCCATTAAAGTTTATTGTTTTTGGAAGACAATTAGTTGATAACTTTTTTTACTAATTAAATCTTTAATGACATTCCAGGTTTTCTGAGTGTCGCGTTTGAATTTTAGTAATTGATTTGAATAATATATATATATATATATATATATATATATATATATATATATATATATATATATATATATATATATATATATATATATATATATATATATATATATATATATATATATATATATATATATATATTTTGAACGATTTATAACTAGCTCAAAAATACCTTTATATTTTTTTGTTATTTTGTTTATAAATATTGAACTAAATTTTTTTCTTTTTCTGTTTTCTAAATATGATTAGCAAGTTATATCCTACAAAAAGTGAGGATCTGTGAAAAAAATCCTTTCTGCAACTCTAAATTTTAGATAAACTTTAACTTCACTATAAATAGTTTTTATAACACCTTTTTATTAACTTGAATGATACATTCGTATCATCTTTTAAAAATATGTACTTTGAAAGCTAATCTCTGATATAAAATGATATGGAAGGCAGCAAAGATCGTTAATAGCAATTAGAATTTTTTTTATAACAAAATTGATGAACTTCTTTGCAGAACGTTGCAGCAAAGATTGTTTGTAACAATGAGAATGTTTTTTTTATGTATGATACATAATGTATCGCTTTAATGAATGCTCCGACTTACATTTGATCATACACTGGTAAAAGTAAATTTGGTTGAAGCGTTTTTACTCTTAATTTCATCGAGGAAAGAACTGAAATTATTGATAAACTTGAGTTCACAAAATAATATATCTGATTCTAGAACTAATATGAAATAATCGAAGCACTGTTTATCTGTTGAATTCACCATTTTTTAGATTTTTGTGCACATATTGGTGACCTGGGCACGATAAATAAACGATTTTCAACATAAATTCAAAATTTTAACTTTTGTTTAAAAACAATAGAATCTTGCGAAAACGGCCCAACTGGCCAGACTATCTGTTATTATGACTATGAATAGACCTAATTTCGGAATTAACCTAATGCTTTTATATAGGTACGCATGTATCAAGGTGGCCACATAAAAATTTATAAGAAAAAAAGGATATTAAAAGTATTTTGAGATTTTACATTTAATTTATAGGATTTTTATGAATGAAAATAGAAGACATTTTATTTACAGTTAAACGTCTATCTTTCTATACTTACAATTTTTGCCCTTTTAGTAGCAACTTTTGAACTTTAGAAGCAATTTTTGCCCTTTTAGAAGTTAAGCAGATTTGTAAACCTGGAATTGTGATTATTTCAACATTTTAGAGGATTTTTAAATAAACATTCATACCCTTCAAAACGCGAATAACTTTCACTGTGTTTTAAAGTGTGGCTTCAAAAAAAGTGTGTTTTAAAAGTGTGGCTTCATTAAAATACAGTTAAAAGTGTGGCTTCAATAAAATACAGTTAACCGAAATTGCAATGAGACACGCACGATAAATAGTATTTATGGTAACTAACTTAGGGTTTGTCCATAAATTACGTCACGTTCGAAAGGAAAGGGTAAAAGGGGTTAGTGATTTTGTAATGACTCGTACGGGACTTGATACTAAAGAGTTACAATGTTGTGAGGAGGATGAGGGAGGGAGGGGAAAATGGTTATCAAAAATGTAACTTATGGTCAAACCGTAGATAAAGTTTATAAAAAACTCTTTTTACAAAAACGTAAAAACATTTAGTAATAAGTAGATTTCCGTCCTAAATTTCATTGATCTGAAATAAATAGAATTACTAATTATTTATGATAACATGACAACGTAGCAATATATTGAAACTTTTTAAAGTTACTAAATTAAAACAAATTAATATTAAAAATTTTGAAAAACAAATATATACATAAAAAGTTATTCCTTTTTTGCACTTTCAAGTTTCGCGACCGTTTTTCGATGTTTTGGAAATTGCTCCCAAGGGCTTTGAAGCTCAAACTTTCGAAACTCCTGTGCAAGCTCAACAGGATCTTGTACTAATCGTTTTAGTTCGGAATCATAGCGAATCTTTAAATAAGATAGCAAAAATTTATATATAAAATAATAAACAAGTATTATAAAACATTAATTAAAATAATACTTATTATTATACCTCGTAAAATCCCGATAGAGGGAAATCCTTTCTCAATGGATGTCCTTCAAACCCGTAATCAGTTAGTATTCTTCGTAGATCTGGATGGTTAGAGAAAAAAACACCGTACATGTCCCATATCTATAAAACACGTAAATCAGATTATAAAAACAAAATACGGAGCAATACAAATGTTACAATTGTTGTATATAAAAATCTATATTTTATTTAAGCTACATTTTGTAACTTTCGTTCTTTAATTAGTTTAAATAAAAAACGAAAGTTATATAAAAATTATATAAAATATTTATTATCACAAAAACAAACTGATCGATAGAAATTGTTGGCTTACCTAAAACAAAACAAAAACAAAACAAGAAAATACAGCTAAACTGTAAAAAAACTCCGTAGTATTTATCAGACTTTTTTCGTTGTTTTGTTACGGAAAAAATCTGTTTTCAATAAATTACGGTCTATTAAGACTTTTGAAATAATCAAATTATTTTATATGATTTTGTCCGTATTTATGATAAGGAGAAGTTCCGTAACTTTAAATAACGGACTTTACCCGTAAATTTTAGTATACTTTAGTATAGTCTCTAATTTACAGAGCGCCATAGTTCTTTATAACGAGGAGAAATTATACATGTATATAATTTCAAGTTAGAGATTTTAATATATTTATATTTGTTTTACTGAAACTAAAGTGCTGTATGTTTTTAAAGAAGTGCATTCACAAAAAAATTCTCTATAATTTAGGTGCTGATTAAGGATGCTGTTGTAAATAGACAAAGATATTTATTAAAGATAGGTACTTCTGAAAATTAGTTCATATATTATATAGGGTTCTTTTCTTATGTATTGAATTTTTTAAAGTTCATAATATTAAGTGTTATGCTTTTATAGTATATAAAAGAAACACTAAACAATATGAACTTTAGAAAATTCAATTCATAAGAAAAGAATTTTATAGCATTGTAAATAAATAAAACACAATTTACTAAAAAGTCAAGTTTTATTTACAATTTTATTCAGACATTACATTGAATTTGCGATTGACAGTGTATTTATTTGATTTGTAATATATATATATATATATATATATATATATATATATATATATATATATATATATATATATATATATATATATATATATATATATATATATATATATATATATATATATATATATATATATAAGTTTATGCAAATTTTGTAAAACTTTATCATAGATGAGTATTTGACTTTATAAAAATTCCGGAAATTTTTTTTCTATGATAATTCCAGAAAATCCCGGAAAATTATTTTATGAAAAATTGATCGCATTTAACTGACAAACAGAATTTAGATTATTTTAAAACGGAATTTAGATTATTTAACTTTTTACAAAAAAGAATTTCTAATATTTGAAAAAGTTTGAATGAATTAAAAAGCAAAAAAAAAGAAAGAAAAAAATTGTTACGAAAATCGATCTCGTGAAAATTTTATAGAAAACATATTTGTTTAAATGCAAAAGTTGTCGTAAGTAAAATTGTATGTAAAAATATATTAATTTTTTTTCAAATTAATATCAAAAAACATCTGGAAATTTCTAGAAAAATTAAAGGTGTTTTAAGTAAATTTCTATGCTTTATACGCAACAAGGGTTCCTATCAAGTGAACTTGATATTGAACATAAGTTGCACATTCTAACACCTAATGCAATACTGTCGGCTATGTCTATGCCAACTTTCTAACTTGACTTCTTCCAACTTTCTCTCTAATATCCTGTATGTATGTATGTATGTATGTATGTATGTATGTATGTATGTATGTATGTATGTATGTATGTATGTATGTATGTATGTATGTATATATATATCAAATATACAGTGGGTTGCCAAATTATTAGGGACCCTTTTTAAATAATTTTAAAGTATTAACTACTTTAATGAATAAATACGTATCTTGTAGTTTTTATTGTTTCTATCGTTAGAGAGCTTTATTTACAATATAAAACAACATAATTACTTATTCATAGCTATTTTTTTTTTTTTTAATAAAAACCTTAAACATAATAAATAAGGTAATAATCTTAATGTTTTGTAATGCCACCCTTAGCTACAATAACGGCTTTCAGGCATTGGGGCATGCTTTCTATGCAGACATTTGCATTGTATTGGAGACTGGGGTTACTATGCCATTCTCTTTTAAAGGTTTCCACCAATTGCTGCCTGGTAGTGATAATTTCTTTGGCATTTTCCCCTTTTGTGAACTTCCATAGACTTTCTATGGGGTTCATATAAGGTGAATTCTATGGCCATGGCAAAATACACACTTTTTTTTCAGTTAGGAATGCTGTAACACTTCTAGTTTTATGGCACGATGCTGAGTCATGCATGAAAATATACTCTTTATTACCAGGAAACCATTCTTGGACCTGGGACAGGAGCCTGTTTTCCAGTAATTGTATTGGACAACAGGCACCTAGTACTGGTACTGCCTCATGGTCCCTTCCACAATGTAAAGACAGCCCATACCCTTGGCTGAGATCGCAGACCACACCATTACACTCACAGAATGTTTAATCTTTTCCAAAAGAGAGTCCTGGTGGAATTTTTCTCCTGGGCGTTGTTGAACAAATAAGCTTTAGTCCATCAAAATTTGAAATGTTGATTCGTCTGAGAAGCAAACCTGTAAGACATTTCAAAGATATTTTAAATTATTAACCCTAAATTTTTCTGGTTTCTTACAATATTATAAAATATATTTATTCTACTCCAGTGTTCAATAGTCATATGCTGTTATTTTCTAGCCCATTCCAGCCACTTTTTTTTCATGGCTTCAGTTAAACGTGGTTTTATGGTTGGACGACGACCCATTAAATTCTCTTCAGCCATTTTTCTCTGAATCATCCTTTTGGAGATGTTAATTCCTTCATTATCATTGTAGCTAGTTGAGTCACACTTTGTTTTTTGTTTTAAAGACAGATGTCCCTAATTTTACGGTCACAACATGGAGTAGTGATCCTTTTTCTGTCACTGTTCTAGAGGCACATTTGTATCAATTTTTTTCAATTTGTATCAATTTGTACACGGTTCTAGAGGCACATTTGTATCAATTTTACTTTTAATTCAGCCTTAAGAACACTTGAAATTGCTGCTATCTCTCTCTGAGAATGTGTAGAAGAAAGAAATAAGGTTTTTACATCCCTACTTTTTCTTGGGGTTAAGTCTGGAGACTTAACCCCCAAAAAAAGTAGGGATGTAAAAACAATGATAGGTGAGAATGGTTACAAGTCAGGATTTATGCATTAAAACTAGCAAAAATAATACATTATTAACTCTAACTAATTGAACTATCAAACAATATTTAGGTTTCGAAACACTTGCAAAAAGTGTTCCTAAAATAAATAATTGAAATCTATTTTGAACTTACTCTAACTTTTTAACAATTGACAGCTAATTGAGTAATAATCTAACTTTTTGACAGACACAATTGGACGGTTGGACTGACACTTGACACATTTAAAAACAATTATTTATATTTATTATATTAGTATATAAATATATATATATATATATATATATATATATATATATATATATATATATATATATATATATATATATATATATATATATATATATATATATATATGTGTGTGTGTATGTATACATATATATCAAATAAAATTTAAGTAAATCATGTAAAACTTTATACATAACAAGGGTTCCTATTAAGTAAACTTGATATCGAATATAAGTTGCACATTTTAACACTTAGAGCAATACTGTCCGCTGTCTCTATGCCAATCATCTAACTTGACTTCTAATTTTCTCTCTAATATCCTTCATTCTTCTAAAAATCATTTACCCTTGGTTTGCGAAGGGGTTTTGATGCTATTAAGTGAGCTGAACTTGTCTTCGTGGGCCTTGGTATGCCCTTACGGAAATATTCCATGGAAAACCCATGGAATTCCATGAGTAAACCATGGTTTTCCCATGAAAAACGGGAATTCCATGGAATTTCCATGGGTAAATTTCATGAAAATTGAAATCCTATGGAATTTCCATGGGTGAACCATGTTTTTTTTTTCATAGCTTAAGCTGCGCCATGGTTGTTACAAATGCGCTTTTAAAGATGGCGTCATAGCTCGTAGAGTTATGATTATTTTTAAATTAGAAAACAATACTTACTGCATTCTTCTGTTTTTCTGTGTTTAATAAGGCTATGAATTATATGTTTTTTATAATGCAATACATTTATATGATTTAACTAAACATACAGACATAAACAACTAGATATATTTATCATATTATAATGCATTATAAAAGGGATTATTTTTAATTATATTTTATTATATATCATTTATGCATATACTTATTTTAACTGTTTCCAGTAGCTTTGCTTACTTTGCATAACTTGCAATAGTATAGCAAGTATGTCAAGTAAACCAGTTTGAATTTTAATGCCTACTTGGCAAATTATTTGCCAAATAATTATTATTTGGTTTACAACAAATAAATGTTTAGTTTTAATCTACATTAAATAACTAGTGTATTAATGTACATAGTGTAATTTAATGTACATTCAAACTAGTATAATTATTATTATAAAATTTATCGAACGTATTAAAGAAACTTATTTAAAATATTAATATACAAGCAGTATATTAGATAAGATTAGATAACTAAGATAATAAGATTAGATAACTAATGTACAAAAGATAACTAGTATGATCTTTTTTATTTTTTTTTTATAATAGCCTTAGATTACATAAAAATGCTAGAAGTTTATTGTATCGTAAATGTTCATTAAGTATTAAAAAACATTTTTTTATGATAAATGTTCTATTCAATTTTAGTTCTGTTAAGTTGTTTTTGTCTTTTTGTTGTAGTTTTTTCTTTAGAATTATTAGAATATGTAAATAATGTAATATAAATAATGTTTATAAATTCTTTTATATTTACTTTATTATTTCATTTAAATTACTACATTATAAGCCAACAGGTTTGACTGGCAATATAAATAATGTTGTTCATCGTTTATATTGTTTATAACATCGTCAGTTTTTATATGCATTTAATATTTTTAAAAATAGTTCAAAAGCTGTCAAAATAAAATGGTGAATTGAGTTTAAACCAGAAAAGATATAA